CTGGAGTACAAATGCTCGTATTCATTACACAAACATCTGCCCCCACCAGGATTCGAACCCGGGACCTCTCGAGTCGGCGACACCATGAAACCCGGCGTACAAACCACTCGACCACGGAGGTCGTCAATGCATGGTATTTAGCTTTCGTATGGGGTAATTTGTTGTATTTTAAGTATGTCGTATAATTATAATATATTTGTTCGTTTTAGGTATTTCTGAACGCACTGCACTGAAATAACTCGAGAAAGAACTGCAGCTGAAACTTAGAATTGGAATTACTGAAACGGATACAAAGGCGATCAACGTTCAAGTATTCAAGTACGATTGAGGCTGGTATAGTGAAGTAAAGTGTTTTGTGAGTGTATTGTGATTAACATTGTGTGTTAACTGTGTAATGTGTGGTGAATAAAGAACTGTCACGCGTGAACTGGCATATAATTTCGAACCCCATCCCGACACGTAACAACACAATATTTTTTTGTCGTCAGGAAAGAAAATTTTGGACGACCTCCGTGGCCAAGCGGTTTGTTCGCTGAGTTTCATGGCGTCGCTGACTTGAGAGATCCCGGGTTCAAATGCCGGTGGGGGCAGATGTTTGTGTGATGAATACGAGCATTTGCACTCCAGACATCATATCATTCCACACAAATAAATAGAGCACCTAAAATTTCAAAGCAGAAATGCAAGCATGGCTGTTAAATAATAGTATTCCGTTTGAAGATTACTGGACGAAACCACAGTTGTACGAATTAAAAAATTAAAATTAAGGAGACCCAGTATATGAAGTCGAATATTTATTAAATAAACATGGACATGAGGTCATGCACTTACCTCCATACGCAGTGATATTTAAATCCGATAGAAAAAATATAGACTATAGTCAAAAGACGTATTATTATTTTTATTTTTACGGGCTATGTAGTCGTAAAGGAACTGTAGTCAATGCGACCTAAAAGATCTATTGTGACTCGCCACCTAGTTAAAATATCTCTTTTAGCCCGACAGCTTCCAAAAAGCTCAAAATGTTTCTAGCTTTTAGAGATTTGATTTCCTTGATGGGCGTATTATATGTTGTCCCAAATGAATAGTACGTTTTTGGATAAAAGGCCCACATTAGCACATAGAAGGTGTTTTGGTGTTTCACGCTCCTGATTGCAGTATCTTAAAGACGTATTGCAGAGAAAAATGACAAAAGATAAATGTGAGTCAAGCCACTAGCGAATTATCCTCAACAACTGAAGCAGCATTCAACACTGTAACAACGTTCATATGGTTTAACGTGTGACAATACGTGGAAAAAATGGAACACCAATATGTCGAATTAGACAGAGTTTTGGATATAGAACTCGACAAATTTATAATTGGTCCTACAAGCGACGATAAAAACTTACACTATTCTGACGACGAAATGATCGAAGACCCACTGGAAGACCACTATTACACAAAATATAGAAGAACTTCCAAATACTCAATAAAACATTTGGAGAAGTATTAAATGTTGTTTAATTTTAATTGAAAAGCCAGTGTTTGGCTTTTAATTAAAAAAAAATGATTCCGACGACGTAGCCTGTAAAGGCTACGAACGTCAATAAATAAATAAAGTTTCGTGCATTAACCCGTAAAAAACTAGTTTTATTTAAAAACACTTCATAAAAAGTAGATACAGTACCTTTTATATATTTAAGAACTATCCTTGAGTATATTTTGTACAATATTTTTATTTGTAGTTCTCTTGGCTCAGCTGTTTAGATGTTTCCTCATCTCCTGTTTCATGTATGTTGAAAATTTATATCACATAACCGGCAACATTGGTCACGCAACCAGTCGCGCACAGTCTTAACTGGCACGTACTCTACCTACAAAATATTTAACTGGCACGCACTCTACCTACAAAATCTTTTTATTCGAAAACTTATTTTAAAGCAATAAACTTTGAAATATTCTAATCATAAACAATATGGCAAAATTCTATAATCTAAAGATTTTTTTTATAATTAACATTACAATTATTGTTTTATCTACATAGCAATTTCATTGTTGTTTTGAAATAAATATTTATTTTAAAGCTCTTATAAATACCTATTTATTTTATATCGCTCAAATGTATAGATAGAATGCCATTTGTCTAAGTCCTTGTATATAAAAATACCAACTCAATACCAATTCAGATCACATTCATACACGTCTCATAAGTAACACAGAGCTACACGTAACAGAAATCTACGTACGTAGAACTCGTAAATATATGACAAAATCAAAACTAACTGTTCCCATTACCTAGGTATAAAAAGTTGACGCTCAAAGCGGTCGCATTCTCAAGCGTCGTCGTCGTCGGCAAAAAGGGCACTTGGCAAACATCCTTCGGTTGGATTACAGGGGAGCATAATTAAATTCTTGCGAAGCCTTTCATGAAGGTTCCATTACCGCCACAATGGCACGAAAAAAATATTATTGAACAACCTCCATTGAGAGAGAGTAAGAAGCGGCCTGGAAATATCCTGCCTGAGCGCTGAGCTTTTACTGACGTGGCCGTACCTAAGCATTATTTCCTATTATAATCGGAAATTAATCCTGAACTCATTTCTCAAAGACAAACCAACCATAATGTTTTTTAAGGTTAATAACGTTGTTATACGAATTATTCAGGAGAATTTTGATCAAATCCTACAGGTACTGATATACGCCTAACTTGTTTTTAAGTTTTAGTTGAGCTCTGCCCGTAAACTATCACAACTATAGGCATCGTGGATTAATTTTAAACTACGGAAATGAGTCGTCTATACTAATGCAAATTACTAAATATTACTTACTAATAAATGTAAAGGTAATTTCTTTGTTTGAAGGAAGTAATCTCTGGAACTGATCTCCATAGTGCGAATGGTATGTACGCCGGGTTTCATCAAGGTGTCACTTATACACGCGGGGCGATTTTAATTGACCAACTGCTAAATCGCATGCGATTTGAACTATCTGAACAGACTTTCGACGCAAATTGAAGAAAATCAATTTAACGATAAAAGTTGATCAATTTAAATCGCTTCGTGTGAATCCGGATTTCTCAGTGGTTCTGGTTCGAGAGCAAATGTTTGTTTGATGAATATGACTTAGGCACAAATGCTCATAGCATTTGTGCCTAAGTCATATTAATATGTATTTTTGATAAATATAATCACGCAAATAGTATCTATCCCATAACACAATCCTTACTTTGCGGCTAGCATAATAACGATGTTTAGGAAAATTTCCTCTACCAGTTGTTATGTAGTTGTTTTATTTATAACTACTGATACGATTTCATTTTTTTCACTTATATATAGATTCGACCTATAGGCGATATATTTTAGTCGCATTATAATAAAATGCATCTATTCAATGCCAGGCGAGTCACTAGTATAATATGAGTATTACTTTAGTGATGTTCATAGTTAAAAATCAATCTAATATGGGTAATTTTAAAATCATGATGTAAGCAAACTATTAATATGCCAGTTTATAGTTGCATAACTTATCAATTGTTCGTGCATCGTTGTATTCTTACCTTTTGTCATTTAGATACAATAGTTTAAATCAAGTCTTTTCGTCAAGGCGGAACCTGAATTGCGAAAAAAATGTCCGCGCGAGTGCACGTCACGGACTCAACGTTCACCATGTGCGAATATTTATCCCCATTTGGGTCTATCTCTTTATTATTATTTTTTATATAGGCATGTAGGAACTCTACCCCACCTGATGTTAGGTGATGATGAAGTCCAAAGGCGAAGATAGCTGGTACAGTAATTAAAAACTGCCAAACCAACAATCGTCACCTTGCAGGCCTGCAAAAATGCTTCTCCTAAAGGTAGGTGGTACGCTTTATATCACCGCGCAACGCTTCCTAAAGTTCGCTTATGCGTTGCTGTGCCTAGCCAAATAAGTTCCTTTTTTTTTCGGGGACACCCGCGTACTTTCTTTTATAATTATTATTAGTACTCTTAAATTTACTTTCATAATTCGTTTTTGTAGTACTTGGTATGACATTACCTCCAAAACTTGAAATTAAAATATCTTTAAATACAGACTTCCTGTGATAAAAAAGGATAAATTAAATCAAGAATCTAAACCCTAATAATTCATTTCTATAGACGAAACAAATAAGGGAAACAAAAAGTTTGTATTGAAGTTTGCCATGTCCTTTAAATCAATGTTTATGTGAAAGTGTGATAGCCTGCATTTTCACATAAGCGAAGCTGCGCGGAGCTAAGCAGTGTTTAAAAAAATCGCAATGCTCAAATTACACATATCTTCTCCGCTCCACTACATTTGAAACAGTATTAGTGGAGTTGAGAAGTTTTTTTTATAGATAGGTCCGACAAATGACTCCACCCCACCTGATGTTAAGTAAAGGTGAAGTCCAGACGTGAACATAGCTGATACAGCAGTTTTACCTGCCACACCAGCCATTCTCATATAAAAAATAATAATAATAATAATATCATTAAAATTATGACGCGTAAAGTTAAGCTGGCCAGAGCAGAGCGTTGTCCTGTTGAGCGAGGTGTAGTTGATGCATTGCTTTATTCAATTGTTTAACTGACTCCAAATAAATTGTATTTACAGCTTTACTTAGCTTATCTTAAATCTGCTCCACTCCGCTCATCTCCACTTCACACAGCTCCACTCGGCTCTGCACGGCACATATTCGCACAGCTTCAATTAAAACACTTGCCTATTTACACGGTTCCGCTCTGCTCAATTCCGCACAGCTCCGCTTTTATGGAAACGCAACCTAAATGTGTAGATAATTCGCAATATTTACAATCATGGATACAAAACAATGAAATTCAGATCCCGCTAAATTTCTTAATTTTCTTGGGCTATCGTGTATTATCCTCGCATAAATTCCAATTAAAATTAAGTGGACCAGTTATGTCAAATAAATGTGCAAATATAATGACAATACAAAGATTTAAAGATCAACATTATTGATACAATAACTAGATCAACAAATAAAAGCATATTTTAAAATTAATCTTTATTATAAAAATTGATTAAATTACAAAATCTTTATTTATTCACACATAAACAACAACACAATAAACATGTAAAAAAATCTAAAAGTTAGTTTATACCTAACAATATCACTTATGGTCAATACTACTATATTAGCACCAATGTATTGTCTACCTATTCTTATCATTATTATCATTCTGGTTAAATTCATTTTCTTTTGATTCATTCTCTTTGGATTCATAGCTTATTTCTTTACTTTTGCTCTCTTCATTTTCTATTCTCGGTTTATGTACTGGAACTATTTCTGTGGGTGGTGGAGTGATTGCTACCAGGCTGCCGTCCTCTTCTGCAACCTTCAATCCTATAGTGGCACCAAGTTTAGCACTAGCTTGTTTAAAGGTGTCGTTAAGTTTCACTTGGACAACGTTAATACACATAGAAGTTAATGCTAAACCAAACACTAGATACATTATGGAGGCCATCATCCTATGGGGATGATCGGGAACTAAATCGCCAAGGCCGATGGTAGACATGGATATGAAGACAAAGTAAAAGGACTCAAAGAACGTCCAATTTTCCCAAGTGTAATATATCACAGCACCAATAAATATGTAGATGATTAGTATAACTATAGCTACCGATATAGGTAGATTAAATTCATCATCAATTTCAAACACTGACGGAGCTGGTGTTTCTGGTTCGGTATCGTTTTCATCTATGATTATAGCTGATCCTGGCTTAGGTGGCAAAGGAGGTGGCACGTCACTCAGTTTTCTAGTAATTGGCGGTGGAAGACTTTCATTACTCTCGATAATATCTTCTTCGTTGAATATTTGAGACGGTCTCCGAACAACATCGTACACGATATTCAGTCCCTTCATTACCTCCTGAAAATTAGAAAACTGTTGTTATTTTTATATCGTCCTTTAATTCCGACTGCTTTGTGGACCAACAAAAGAGGGGAATGTAGACAGCGCACAGCCCGCGGCGCAATCATTACTCATTTGTGAATAAAAAGAACATTTACATTGTTTTCCCCGACCTTACATTCATTCTTGTAAGATAATAAATAAATAATAAATATAAATATTTCCAACACACACACCAATTAGCCTAGCCCCAAAATTAGCACTATAAGGCTTGTGTTATGGGATACTAGGGTAACGGATAGACTACATATATTGTACATATATAAGTATATTTATATACAAATACATATAAACATCCATGACTGGAGTACAAATGCTCGTATTCATCACACAAACATCTGCCCCCATCGGGATTCGAACCCGGGACCTCTCGAGTCGGCGACACCATGAAACCCGGCGTACAAACCACTCGGCCACGGAGGTCGTCAAACATTAACAAAATAAAATATCAACAAAACATTTTTAAATATGTTGAGAACTTGGAAAGGATCAAATAGCTGAGTTTTGTATTTCTAACGACAATATTTAATTCAAAGGACGATATTTCTGTATATCTATTAGTATTCAATAAATTATGCTTAAAAAAATCTCAGAAAAAGCTGTTCGTATATATTTTAATAAATAGTTATACCTACAAGTAAATTTAGACGAAAACAAAGAAATATAATTTTGCTTCAATTTATTTTTATGTAAGTATATTTAATAGTATTCACTTAAGCCAATGGCGATTCTCAGAAATTCTAATTGCTTGGCTCACTGATTCTGATTTATATGGAATTAAAAATATTAATTTAAAATGACTAAGTTTTCTTTGACAAAGATAATTTAAAGGTTCAATGGTAGAAATAAGGACACTTAGATTAAACTTGTTCTATAATTGACAAAATAATATATTTACCTGTACGGGGGCGGTTCTTCGGACCTTTCGACAGTTTCTAGTATAGTAGAACCTTCGAATAAAAGACCAGAAGAACTTGATGATTCTCGTAAACAATTTTCCAAAATCTGCCAACACAATCAAGAACAGTGGTATTCCTATTACAGCGTAAACTATTGTTGCCGCTCTTCCATACGTAGTCTTAGGTGCAATGTGGCCATATCCTGGAATATTTTAAATAAACATGTTAGAAAATAAAGAAGGAACTTACGTTTTGCAATATTTTACAATATCATGTTGAATATAGGTCTTGCTTTTTATAGTTGCATTGATTTATGTTAAAGAGTTATTAAAGAAAACGTTTGAGTTATCAAAAGTTAGTGTGGATATCAAACATTTATTTTAATTAAGTATGTAAATTTTATGTAATTAAATAATTTAATATAATAATTTTCAAGATTTCATTAGTTCGATTAGCGAAATAAGGGAACCTGATTATTTTCCTTGTGTTAATTCTACTACGGCGCTGATAGTTTTTTTTTGCGAAATGAACTACTTACTTCAAACTATGAAATGCAGAAAATAACATAATATGTACTTGAAAAAGTATTATTATTAAAAAGTTATCTTTGAGACTTGTAAAGAAAACGCTTGGTACTATATTCTGTAGAGGTATCGAATTTACATTTTTACCATTGATAGTAAAAAAACCTGGGATCCTGGACTATTATAATTTCATTCTTTCATTAGTCAATCTAAATTCAAACAGTAAAAAAAACATGATATATATGCTTCTAAACTATCATTATTATATAAAAAGGTATGTTGAATATATATATTATAATGATCTCAATCAATGACGCCAATACATAAATATTTTGAAAAAAAAAATCGCAGTTATCTGTAGCGAAAAAATCTTTTCGAAACTTGATAATATTTGAAATAAGTTAGTCTAGTAAATAGATGTCTATTTTTAGTAAGTACCAGATATTCGATTCAACTTTTGCAATTCACTTTTTTTTAACTCAACCTCTTTCTATATTGCGGAGAGCACGTTAAGCCGTTTGGTCAAGGATGCATTCGCAGCCCTTAACATCTTTCACCCACTCTGATTTGCGTGGTAGGTCATGGTGCCCTCCTTATTGATAATTTATTTTATTTCAATTTAAATAATTTCATTTCATTTATATCCTTTTCACAAAGATGTTCTTACCAATAGTTGATATTAGTGTAAGGCAATATACAAAGGAGTTCATGAAGTTCCAAGAACGCTGTCCACTATACGATGTGACACCAGCTTCGAATGCCGTTTGTAACTGATTCTCAAATTCATGAAGCTTATTACGAGCTAAAGACTTCCAATCGTCTTCGCGCAAATAATGACTCCCACGCCACAACGCTTCAATAAAATCTCGCTTGACACTTCTAGAACCGCATTTAAAAGTATTTTCAAAAGAACCCTCGAAAGTTTTAAACATCATACCACCCAAGCCACATAGTATTATCAAAAGCAACAAGTCACATATACATCTATTCCTAAGCGAACGTATTTTATCACAATCCTTTTTGCGTTCACGCTTAAATTCCTGCCAACAAGATATTATTCTCCATCGGGATATAATTGCTTTTTCTTTTTTAATATCATGGTCAGGATTTTTTGCTTTAGTATCAGAAGATTGTTGAACACCAGGTTTATTAACCTCAACTTTAGAAGTCGTTATTGACTTTTTACGTAACCTGGGCTTTTGGTTCTTTGAAGAATCTTTAAATGCATTTGAAATCTCTTTTGATAAAATAATATTACTTCTAGTTTCAACTCTTTCCACCTCTTCACTGAGCATTTTCAGTTTTCGTGTTAATTCAGCGGTTCGTTCGGATAAATCAAATTCGTATTCGTTTTCGCTTGGTGAGGTTGAGTAACAACTTGAAGTGTACTCTGACTGACTCGCATCGACATATCCAGAGCTTTGTCTGCTTCGCTTGCCTTGCTCCAAATCACCTTTTTGATTTGCGGATAAACCGTACAAAATCTCTTTATCACTTATTATCTGAATAGTTTTAGGACAGGATATACCTCTTGTGTTTCTTGGTGTGGAAGGAGCTTTACTAGGTGTTTGTAAATTTTTTGACTGATATTTATATGCTGATGGAAGTCTTGGATCTTCTTTTGGTATAGATAAACTTCTGGCTCTAGCTTTTTGCATAAGTTCAATAATTTCTTTACTTGTTTGACTCATTCCGGTTCCAGTTTTATCTGTTACCTTTGTTTCATCAAATCTATTAATCGATTGTGATCTATTTGCCCTTGGAGATCTATTTTTCATAAAACGTCTAGGTGTAGGTTGCACTTTGCGCCTCTGTCCTGGAGCATTAGTAATTAGTTGATTTGCTTGGTCTTCACTCATCTCACTCTCACTTGTTTTACTCTGCAAACGTCATTACAGATATGATTAGTTTTCTTCTTATTATAGTTAGTCAATTTCTACAAATATGATGATAATTTTCCACTTCTATAATATTTAGGCAAATTTGAAATATAGCGCTATTAACAAAGCAACAAACAAAATCAAAAACAATTTCATATAAAAACTGACCCCAAATCTTAATGATGATTTACTTCGTGCTGGTTTTACAGGAGGCGCTCTTGTTTGATGATCATCATTCACCTGTTTAACAGGTTGCTTTACAATTACTGGTTTTACATCAGCTGACATTTTTCTACTAGGAGTTCTTACGATTCTTTCCCGAATTTCTACGTTTGGTTTATTATCCGGTGTTAGTTTTTTACTAGGTGTTCTCTCCACTTGAATAACCTTAGTTACAAGTTCTCCTGGAGTAGTCGGGGTTTCAGGTGTTTTGGGAGCCGCTTTCAAGCTTTGTTTGGTTTCCTTTTCTTCAAAAGTAAAAACTTCATCTTTCTTTTCAGGAGTTTTTTGATTTTTACTGTCAGATATTTTTTCATCATCATATACAATTTCCGTCAATTTTTTGGGTGTTGTTGGCAAAGGATATGGGAACCCTTTTTCGATTGGTGAAGCAGTTGTTGGTGTAGATAATGAAGGTTTATTCTCTCTTGGGGGTTCGATAGTCAAAGAGCTACGTCTATTGTTATCTTCATCTTTTAGATTCAAATTATAATTTGTAGACAGCAATTTATTTGATGGATCGATGAAACTTCCTTTTCTTTCTAGTCTGCTTAATTCTTCCTTATCTGGTACAGCAAAAGGTGATATGCTCCGTCTTCGCCTTTCGTTAGCAGCTGTAACTCTAGCTTCTAGAATTTCTTCGGTATCTATATCATATACTGGATCTTTCACCGTAGCTCTTTCTTGGACCAACCTTTTCACTTCAAGATAGTTTTTTTCAGCTTCAAGTTCTCTTGAATTTCGTTGTGGTTGGGATTTTACTTCTTCATCATCAGATGTAGTTGTGTCTTCATGTGGAATAGGAGTTCTTCCTGGTTCAGGAGTCTTTTCTCGTTGACGAGCTGCTTGGCCTCTATTTTTTGAGAGATTCCTTCTTTTCCTAATAGACATCGTTTGTTTTGGTTCATTATCCATTATGTCGTCTTTTATTATTTCAGGCGATCTAGAAACTAATTGACCACTGGTTTGGGCTTCGGACTCGGCTTTGATTTTGGGGATAAGGAGGGTTAATCTATTTTCCGCTTCGTTTCTCTCTTCACTCATCACCTTACTTTTAAAGTTACCGCAACTGTAAAAGGAGAACACGTTTATCGAATAACGCGACACAAAATACTGAAGTCAATGAGCCTTTTGATTTGGCATTAGATAACCTATCAGCTGCCAATAGGCAATGGCATACAAACTTAGCCAAGAATTTAGAGTCAACGTAACGTAAACTTACCTCTGACAGATCGCTGCCGAAAACAAACTTCTCAACTATACATCGAGCACAACGGAGCAATCTAATAAAAAAATCTATTTTTAACACTCCCACATTTAGAACGTAGCCAACTTCCATCCATTTTCCTTTAACTTTGTACACACTTCAGCAAATATTAAGTTTAATGCACTACAAGGTGTTTATGCGTAATAATAAATTCGCGATTTTCGAAATAAACTCTCGATTGTTGAGTCGAATTGTGACTGAGCAGAAGCGCCAAGCCCGTTTGGGCACGGTTCCAAATCTAAAACAACCATACCGACATTCGCATCGGCTAGTATAGCTATATTTTCGTGCACCGAAAATAAGAAGTTGTACCAAAACGTTCTGACACCTCCGCCGCATCGCCGTAATCACAAGAAATCTTCGAAAAGGGGTCAAATTCATTTCGATTTCAAACATTATTAAGCACGTAAATATGTACTTTGACAAAGTTTAGGAATTCGTTATTGTTACTTGTTACTATTGTTTCTCTGGAGTCAATTAAAGTTAACTTGGATTATCTTAAAAGAGAACTTATTGATATGGATAAGTTTACGATATTGCATTTGGTTTATTGGGTACACTTTAGACATTGAAAATGGTTTTTGTTTCATCTAATTACATCAGTAACAATTTTACTTTCAATATGTTAAAATTAAATGAGACCCTACGGTGACTGGAGCTGATTTCGTCATACTAAATTATACGAGTACATGCAAATGCGAGTAATATTAATGGCGGTTAAAAAAAAACAGTGAAAAAATAACTACTTTTTTACCTCACGGTAAGGTAAGTATTTTGCTAAAATAAAGTAAGTAGAGAAAACTACATATTTTGTCTTAGTCTAGTCTCGTTTTGGCAACATTTGACGTGACATTTATTTATTTATTTTTAGGGGTGGAGGTTACCGCCATTAGTATTTCTTTTCAACATATCACGTGAATAACAATCGGAATCATGAAAGATTTCACCATTTTTGGCACAAGTATACAATAATAGCTCACGTAAGGATACAGTATATCGCACAATATCATAAATCCTGACTTTCGACACCAACTCAAAGTCTATTTATTCATACTGGAAATATGTCAAGGAATGGAAGAGGCAGGAACCATAATCCGGCATATGAAGTCCCAGCTCTTCTTTAAGTGAAACTATTTCACAATCCATGTACCCTTTTAATTCGGTAGAAAAATCGACAACGTTCAAAGTAACGTAAAATTCTAGACGAATACTGGATTAAATGCAACTTTTTGCCTACTACATCTATTATGTAAGGTGTATATCTAAGCCAATCGACAATCGACGCATTCGCTGTCAAGGATAATTATTATTAGCTACTGCGTGGACCCAGGAGGCAGGAGACGTTCGCGCACTACTGTTTATAAAGTGAAGTATAATTATGGCGCTTTAGATTTTTTTTTGTTTATAAAGGGTTATATTATTATAACTATTTTTTTTATTTATAATATCAAGGTTTCCTTATATCCATTTTCAGACCTGTACCTTAATTTTCAGACCTCCAGCGTCAAAATTGCAGAAACTGTCCCCTAGTTTTATATATTTTTGAAGTTATACTTCTTTAGGCGCGTTATGAAAAAATGATGAGAGTAAAATTTTAACATGCGCGCGCATCACTGTAACACAAAATTTTAACAGCATGAAGTTGGTCGCTTTAGCGATCAACTTCATGCTGTTACTTTTGTGTTTACCGCACATTAAGAAAATCTCCCAACAAAATAGAAATAGAATCTCTATTTAGTGGGTGCTAACGACTGCATTGTGAAGGGCTATCAAAAGTATTTATTAATCTGGAACAACGGAACCAAAGCGCGATTCAGGAGACTACAGCGCCATCTCTTGACCATTGGTGTAGTAGAACCAAAAACCACATCTTTATTTTTTGTAATAAAGTAACAGTTATAGGTATTCATATTTATAATATTTATCCACATGTTTCTAGTTTGTATATTCGGAATACGTGTTTGAGTTACATACAAGTGCAAATCACATATGTTCTAATAAATTATATTCAGTAGCGATTTTAATTGAATATTTTGATTATTTATTTATTTTTTCAAATTAAAACTGAACTTTATTGACTGTGTCCTTTTCCAGACTTTTTATTAATTTATTGTAATTAATTATTTGCATGCAATTAAAAACTAATTTAAACGATGCCAAAGAAGGATAACTTCTCACGCGCCTACATAAGTACACGCACCCATTTTTTTGTTGTTTGTGTTTACTTACTACATATATACTTGCTTAAATACCAAATTTCAGCTTTCTAGGACATTAGGAATCCTAAGAATTTAGATAATCGTCAGTGAGCCCCCCTTGCTTAATAAAATATTATGTATCAATTGCTTAATAAAGTATATTTAGTAGTTTGGTATGTACATGGTTTTCATTTTATTAATATTTTGTAATTCAATTCAAATTAATTATTAATATTAATTTTTATGGGATAATTGATGAAATATATTAATTTTGATTGATTGAGTAGATATTTATATTACGTAAATTCAAGAAAATTTTATTTAAATTGTATATTAGATTATAAATTCTATTCAAGAACACCAAGTATTGCGATTAGGGACACGAAAAAAGTATCGATACTTTTTGGTATCGAGTACTTTTCCTTTCGATACCGATACTTTACTACTCGATACTTTGTATTCGATACTTTTACTAAATGAGTACTTTTTGGCAAATATATTTGGCGATACCTTTAAAAATTTGGATATGGGCCTCATATTGATGGCAACGCCATCTTGTTGAATCATAGCAAACCTTCTAAAACATTGCATTGCGTTGATATAATTGGAAGCACAAGCAATCAAGTGTATCCTGAGACGAATAGATGATGCCATCGAATTAGGACAGGAAGTAACTGACATATTCAAATTCTTTCCAATCTGTGACTGTGTATATTTTGCGCTTTGTTTGGTTTCATAGTTTATTTAGCGACCACATTATTACGAAGTGTGTTTGATTGTTTATTGTACTTTTCGCTTAGCCGTATTTGATTCAAGTGTAACACTATTATTCTGTCTGTGCTGGGTATACCTATTTGAAACCACAGACCTGAAAAAAAGACGGTCGTAACCTCGTCTAATCTTAAGTGAAGCATGCCAATGGCCGCCGTTAACCGCAAGTTAGGTTCAAGTTAACATAACTGGGTATAATATTTTTTAATGAATTAAATTCAAGAAAAGTAAGTTTATTTTGTTTCAAATCTGAAAAGTACCATACTTTTATATTGTTTAAGATTTCTATCTTTTTAATTAAAATGTTGATTATGAATGTTATATTAATGAACTCTTTTTTACTGTCAGAAATTTCAGCTGTTTTCTGTTCATTATTTATTTAATTACACACGTTTAGTTTTGCAGTTGATTGTATTAACATTACACATTTTTAAGAGCTAGATAATGTAGCAATCTGTGATTTTATATGTTCTTTTTTGCTTTTGATTATACGTAATATAATAAAATTTGATTGTTTTCCTTTCAATTTTAAACCGAAGGGAGAGGGGGGGTTGCTCATCAGGCCCAATGAAATGTACTCGATACTTCGAAGTATCGATACTTTTGTTTCGATACTTTAACGAGTAAGATACTTTTTTTCCGATCCTACTCATGAGAACAGTATCGATACTTTCTATTCGATATCGTGTCCCTAATTGCGATACCCTGACAGGGTTCATGTAACGTACTTTATAACATGTATTTAACCATCTCTGTAACTACATGATTTGATTGATTGATTGATATTACCGAACTAATTAGTATTTATAAGTCACAAAGGCTTGAGCTTATACGATCAGCCGTCGTATTTCATTTACTTGCAAATATCGCTGGAGGGTATAATATTTCATTAACTTTAAAATTAGATATGTAAATAATACAAAAAAAAATGCCAGCCAACACAAGCCTGTGGTTGTACGTAACTCGACTTTGTCTTAATTAAGTAATAATTGGTAATGTTAAAAAAAATACTGCCGTTAAAAAAGTTTTTAGAATAGGACGGAATTTTTTAGTGCAGTCGGGGGAATATTTTGTTATGAGAAGATAAGTACTAAGAAGTCTCCCGATTGCATTAAAATATCCATGCTATCCGAAAAATAAAACTTAATTTTACTTTTTTTATAGCAGCCATACTTAAAATTGTTTAAATACTTTATTTATTAAATTTTACGGAGACTTGTATTTGAGATACGCCTAAATGAAATATAATTAATAGCCGCATTTCATCCCTAAAACATTTGCGGCGAGGTATTCTCTTTATATCAAACATGTCTCTACCGCTTTGTAAACCCGAGAGAAGTGTCACAAAGGACGAGTTTACCTACTGAAACGAAAATAAATAAACAGTGTACCTATTAAAGCTTTGAACGTGTTAACGACGAGTGCAGTCTTTGTGACATCGAAACAATTGGATTTGCGCCTCTAGTGTGCCTTTCACGTTGAATTGTTGTCAAAATAGCAAAATGTAAGCGCCTGATTTCAAAAACAAAGCAAACATTACGTGCGGCGTCTGACGTTAGCGCCTGCGGTGTATTAAGAGCAATCTTCTGGTTTATCGCTTGTAGTTTCGAAAAGTTAATATTATGAGTGAATAATATTCCAATATTTAACAAAAACAACACATTGTCAAATGTACCTAGCAAATAACTATTAAGAATTTAACTAATTAGGGTAGTAAAAAAGCAAGACATATATTCAATAATAATGAATAGTAAAATATTATACAGTTTGCAACTGTAGTTCAAGTTATATTCGACTCTTATTTTTTTCAACTGATTGTAAGGTTCATCATGTTAGATCTCATCACATTAGTGTTGTCGATATAGATAAAACCTCAGATTATTTTGGTTCTATAATCTAAGCATAAAACAAGATGCTTACCGATGGTGGTATAAATAGTTCCCGCATAGAACATAGCATTCCAAAATGTCCACGTTTTTTTACTTTTGACGTTGGTAATATAATCAGTGTAATTTTTTTCATACTGCATCAGGCTATCCTCAATGCGACTCATTAGGGCAATGACACCATCCTGAAAATCAAAAAATAGATTTTTTATTTTAAACTAATTATATGTATATTTTGACAATCGTCGACCTGACGAACTTTGAGATATTTGATTCTTGTTCTGAGGATATTTGTGATGTCTATAATTGCCATCACAAAATTTTTATCTCTTCATGAGACGTCATAGGATGAGTACGGAACAACCCGTCTTCTGTGATCAGCACGTGTGATTACACGATCGTCGCTAGTTTGTGCGAACTTTGTTCATTCATATATAATAGGCTAGTTGACTCATGTCGAATTGTATTAAATAAATGTTTATTTCTTAAAGTATTTGGTCTAAGGAACCTAAATATATCGATTTTACTTCATAAAAGCAGAAGATTACTGTAGAAATTTAATTTTAAAAAAAAATTTTTACTCTATATTTTTTAAACACTAAAAACGTTATTCGCCACATCCGCCATGATTGTGACGTCTCATATGGTAAACAACTAAATGTCATTCGCGTGTTACTGTGGGTGGATTCTTTCGTCTGACTTAATTTATCATAAAACACTTTTAACTTTAGAAAAGTTTCCGTTTACTGTTTTTTTTTTGAAAAAACTAATTATGGATACCGGCTTTGTGAAAACAGAAAGCACAAATCTGCCAAGAATTGACGCATTCATGGTTGGTGAATTTATTTCACTAAACCCCGATTTCTGCTCTGCGGAGCAGAGAAACGACAAGGCATCTATGTAAGTACAGTGTATTTAGTATTACAATGTAGTAATAAACATAAAACTGATACAACATATGAATAAGTGTAATAATGTTGCGTAGGTTAATTTCTTTCGGCACTTTTAATTCACAACTTTCCTGGAATCTTCAAGGCTGTGTTTTTATATTCTCGTACAATACAATAATGATAATTACTTTATTTTTCGGGGTATTTATTAGAAATCATCTTTTGTTTATTATAAAGTCAGTTATTTTCTTACGAGTTTTTGTTTATTTACCTTTCTCTATGTGTTTACTGCAGTTAACGTCATAGCATAGATAATCTATAGACTAAAATGGCCGATAGCGTTTTTGTATGTCCATGAAAAATCTATTTTAAAATTAAAGATTTGTAGCTTTTTAGGTCTCAAAAAAATACAATACATTTTTTTTCGGTCTAATAGAACATTTATTAACCATTTAAAACCTTTTTCCAAAAAGGGTCAACTAGCCTATTGCATTAAGAATTTACAGAAATTGGTATAAATACGACCAACATTTACATCAATTAGCGAGGATCGCGTATTCGCTTTCAATTAGTATGTCCGACGCCAAAGCTTATGAACAAAGTTCCCACGAAGAAGGACACTATTGTTTACATTAATCTTTCATTTGAACAATAAATTGGTGACCAGTAGCAGCGGTAGCCTATGGAGCGCCCGTGTGTGGGACGACCACATTCGATGCTACTTATGGCAGAACTACACTTATCTGTCGTGTTGTGTTCGGACGCGTCAGAGAGTTATTGGTTTCATACATTTAGTACGGTTAGAGTGAGAACGCTGTCACTGACACATCGTGAGACACAAGTATCCTTCTAACCGTACTAAATGTATGAAACCATGAGCTCTCTGACGCGTCACATAAGTATATTTCTGCCATAGAAGGAATTGTTTTAAAAGAGGCAGGCGCTCTTTGCCCCTCAAATAACGACGACGATGATATTTAAGTAGCGTGTCGCCACGACACGCTACTTAAGTGTCCTACAAATATGTCTCTAACCATAATAAATGAATGAAACCGATGTGCTTCTGGCACGTCATGACACGCCACGACACGTTACTATGTTTCTGCCTTTACGCACTGCATCATAGCACTATTTATGTAATACTAATAACCACTATACCTCAACAAAGATCTCGAGCAAATTTACATACAAAAACTTCTACTGCGTAAGTTTGTTTCTTTGGTTATTCTCAAGATGTTATATAACCATAGGTAACGTCGTTCCTGTCCATAAAACTGCTCGATGCATTCTCAAAGTACCTACACTAGACAGTTCTTTCCCTTGGAGTAGCTTAATGGCGCAATTGTTACTATTTACTTACCTCAGATTCAAAAGTTATTTGCAATCACCGACACAGTTGGGTATTTTATCAAGGAGCTGGATGGCATATTTGTTAACGCGTTTGTTTAGTTTGAGATTGTAAAAAAGCAACTTTACACCGGTCAAAGGATGGGTGATAAAAAATTTGCTGTCTCAAGGCAGTCCCAGCTGCATCTGCAGTCGTTAGCTCTCAATTGCATCTGAGGCACAAGCACGAATTTTTGACAGCGCTGTTAACGTATCGTCACTGTATTTTTTTTTTGAGTGTGTATGCTGTTGGTCGTAGATGACCTTTACAGCGTCACCGGGTTTGGGGACGGCGAGATCCTAAGGGGACCTCAAGCCTAGAATTGCGAGTGCCTCTAGAGGTATTCCAGGCGGATGGCATATCCCCATGGGGGAAGTTTCCTCTCCGTCTGGAGCCTCTAGACCTCTCGAACCTGAGGGGGTGTCAAATGTTGTTTGGAAAAAGCTAGTTTGTTCTTACGTCCTATAGGGGCGCTGCTTTTATTTTTTATACAAACTTAGACGATGCGATCCATTAAGGAGCTGTCAAAAATTCCTGCTTGGGCCTTTGCACTCGTAAGCTCCTACCAATCTGCACCGGCCCAGTGTGCTATGGCCCATAGTCCCTATTTCATCCATAGGGAAGGCCTGTGCTCCACAAGAATGTGTGCAGTGGGAACAGTACCCCTAGCACGAATCAATATCGAATTCGAATAGTTTGCGAGTCGGAAATGTCAATGTAAAATTTTTGTATGGAAACTTGAACAGCAGCGCCACAAAGGATGCAATGAGAACTAAAAATCAGTACACATTTGAATGACAATTCGGACTCGCAAACGATTCGAATTCGACATTGGTTCGTGCTAAGGGTAAGAATAGGTTGATGGTGAATATTTTGCGGTAACGGTGGTTTTACTTCATGTAAGTGATAGTAATTTTACATTGGAGTTGGAGAATTCTGTGGACATGACTAGTAGTTTCGTCGCGGCTTCTCTTCTGACTTCAGTTAAATTTTTGTTGTATTTAGTAGACTCTAGTTTCTCGTTGGTGCCTGAAACAAATAATATAGATATATTTAAAAAAAAATATTAATTTAAATTCATTCACCTCCAATTTGCGGAGAAATAGATCATTTTTTTAATAATATTTGCTTATGCTATATACATAAGAAGTAATCTTTTATAGTAATGAAGAAGTTTTCATTTTTTTTTATAGATAAATTATAAAAAATTAAGTAAAATAAAACAAACACGTGAAAGAATTAATAAAATATCTCAAGAAATTAAAAAGTTATGGGACTTTGAAGTTGCGTTCGCAAGAATAATTTTATTACACGCGGCGCTCCATCGTGTGACGTCATTTGACCCAGACGACGCAGCACGTATTCGCTGAGTACGTACGAATGTATTGTTGTGTAGTTGCTTGCGCCGTTTGATTCGCATTTTGTTTATTACCCGATGGCAGAAGTTAAAAAAAATGCCTACAAATATTGTATTGTTCCTATGTGTCAAAGCACAACAATTAAAAATCCCAATAAATTTTTTTTCGTGTACCAAATAATATAACAACAAGAAAAAAGTGGTGCAAAGTAATGAAGCGTGATTTAATTGGCCCTAAAAGCACTAAATATGTGTGTGAAGATCATTTTGATGTTAGTAACTATTAATAATAGGTGCCTATTTCTGATCGATATACCTATTGAATCGTAAGTAGGTCCGGAATAACTTATTCAGTAAAAATAACTATATATTTTATGTAAATATATTTGTTATTTACTTTATATGTATGTGAGTACTGTGAATATCGAATTTATTTACAGGTTGAAAATGACACAGAAAATTTAGTCAATCATCGACTACAGTTTGTCTATAAAGTCGTGACATGAATGTTTGAGGAACTAACATTATTCATGTGTCTGGCAACACCAAACTTATATACATCAGCTGTCATCGAGTTTCAGTTGTGGAACAGTTTTCCTTTTGTATTTTTTATTGTTTCGATTAAACTGTAATTTTAACTGTAAAGTTTGAAATAAATTAAGACAAAACTACGCAGAAAGGTATAAAAATGAGTAAAGTAAATCGGAGTGGCACGCGGGAAGAGATTTTTAAAGCGATGTTTCGAAGACTACCAACCTGGACGAATTTTGTGGGATTTGGACGATGTTTATGGGCCAACAGCATCTATGGCGGGTACGTAATCGTGTAACTATTTGTTTGTAATCTGCCTTAAGTTACAAATTTACTCAATTTACGATTTTGAGATCAAAAAAGGCATTGTTTACATTGCACATTTTCAGGTTAGATTGACATTGTTAATAGCTAATATTGTAGTACGACCATTTCTTTTGATACCTTCTCAGTCAGGTTTTCTACCAATTTTGAATTAATGGCTTCATGTCAATAAGTTATTGTTACTATTCCGTTACATATTTTATTACTTTTTTTTTTCAGGAAAATCATAGAATCGGATAGTCAACGAAGGTTTTAAGAATGAGGGAAAGTTTGAAACTCCTGGGAAAACAGGCAAGGCCGACCAAAGAAAGAAATGGTCACATAAAGAACCACGGCCAGATGCTTTTAGTGAAGATACCTATCACTAATTTTACTAACTGCACATTTACAAATTGTTTCTCTAAATAAACTATATACTATAAAATGATTTTTAGTATTATTTTCTTAACAAGTGTGTTAAAAAACGTCGTATGATGATACTTGTGTGTATTGATGATTACCTAACGGCTCTGGTCTCAATGGCACCTCAGCGGTAATAACCAACATTACACACTTTTACACTATAAAGTACTATTTTATCTATAATAATTTTATTCTGATTCAATTAAATATGCTTGGCTAAACTTTTTATAAGCATAGGTACCTACTATATATAAAACAGAAACAAAATAAGACTGTATAGTGTGTCTTATTAATTACCTATTTTACTTGAATGAACTACTAGTATCAAAATCATTTTGGTCCGACTGTATAGGGTTGCTACATGCATACTAGTGGCACCATCATTTAATGTCACGACTTTATAGACAAACTGTAGTTGGGGGAAATCCATTACTGTGTATATATCAATATTAGCCAAATTATCACTTTGCCCTTTGAAGAAGCCTTCATCCATTATAGTGAAATAAAAACTACACGCTCATAAATAAAAAAGAAACAAACGACTGTACGTAAATAAACACGAATGAAGCAAGAACCCTAGCGCAACTCGGAAATTGAATGATTCGTGGTGCGGTGATATTGAATAAGTCAAATGACGTCACAGGCGAATCACGAACCACAGACGTTCCGTACTAAAATACGTAAACTTCAATAATTTATTTCTATGTCATTTATAGATGGATTTCAAAAATTTTTTCAGTGATTAATTACTTTTGATCTATATTTTAATACCGTCATGTTAAATATAATATTAACAACATCATAAAACTTCTCCAATTACGAGATTGTTACCATGTACCTTGTTTTTAGCGATAGCTAGTTGTTATAACATAAATTACTATTTATGTTAGTGACCATGAAAGTAGAAAACAAGTAATCTTTTAACCAAAATGAGATAATTCAATACATTCTTAAGTTTAATTACAAAAAAAAACAAAAATTAAGCTGTCCTTTGTAAAACTAAATTAAGTAAACATAATTCTAAAATGATAACTTTTATAATTTTGACGTATCTTATGCTCTAATCAAAGATCTTATGCAGTGAACATCTGTCCTTTGAATAGTAATAATATTTTTAAAGATAATATCAGATTGGAACTGGACCAACTGAACTAATGTAAAGTTTTATCCAGTAATACTGATAGCAATGAACCATGTGGCTTTGATAAGCTACATTCCAAATCATTATTTACGAATTTCAGGAGACTACAAAAATAAGCGCCAATGGCTAGTCGTAAAGAAAAAACGAACCACGTTAACAGATGTTTTCTGTTTCATAACATTTAACCTATTAATAAACACATACTATGTCCCTATTTTTAACATTAACATACCTCCCCCCCTCACACACACTCAACAAACTCATAATAACCGGCGACAAGACATAGGTATTTATCTCAAATTCGAGATATAAGGGTGGCCACAGATCTGCGTTTTGTATTAAAATAACAGTTGACGTTTTTAGGGTTCCGTACCCAAATGGAACCCTATTGCTGTCACTCTGTCGTCTGTCTGTATGTCTGTCCCTATGTCAAGGGTCTCTAGACCGCAAACGGAATGAGTAACAGAACTGTTTTTTTTGTATTATAATTATGTAGAATGCATGTCCCAAACTGAATATATGGTTAAAAATTCAATTTAATTATTTTCACATACGTGAAAATGGACTGATTTTTTTTTCTTTTTTAACCCCAGCATGTGATACTTTATTGTCTAGTACTTGTTGAGTAAAATATAAATAGTATTTTATAATTTTTTATTGTCAAAAACAGAATTGGGGGCCTGCGAAGCCAAAATCGAAACTAGCCAGGAATGTGAAATTTTGGTATATGATTTTTAATAAGCTGTATTTGAACAAAAAATACTGAAAACGCCTATTCATTATGTACTTTGTAAGATATATAGAAAAAAACAAATGATTTTTCCGGTTTCGGTTTTTTAATTTGTGATAGTAAATTTGAGTTGTTGGATGAAAATAGAAAATGCTACAAATTCTTTCTTTAAAAGCTGCGTACAGATGTCGAAGATTTCAATGGCTTAAAAACAGGAGGAGTTATTATTTATTTTATCTTAACACATTTTTTGTAAGATAACATTGGTGATACAGGTACAATGTTTTGGTTGCTAGCTGTACACTTTGCTTGTTTTAACACGTTGTTCTGTTATGTGTTGTCACAATATCTAGATACACAGGACCTGGGTAGAGGCATATATGAATATTACAAAATATTTATATCTGTTCATTATATTGTAAATTGAAAAAAAAATAAACTTCGAAACGTATTATTTCAAAACTAGCTTTTGCCCGCGACTTCGTCCGCGTTTTCGTCGTTTTTCATAAAAAAGTAGCATATGTCCTTCCTCAGAGTTCCGTGGTTTTGATGTGACAGACAGATTAACTTTCGTATTTTAGTAGGGAAATATAATATGTCAATCCACAATACTGTTAAAAATATCGCAATAAAGAACCGCAGAATATTATTATTATCACTGTGCCCCGAGACCATCAGCGTGTAACTCCTTGTATGTTATTATGTTAATGTATTGATACTATTGTTTAGATCGCTTTCACATGAGGCTTAAGTACATATAGAATGAAAATACTTCAGCGCAAAGCTTCCGGGTAAAGTACGTTGAAAGTTGACCCGTCCGGCACGTGAACATAAAAATTTCTAGGACTGCTAACCCGGGAAAGAGCGACATATAACTGACCATGTGAAAAACAACTGACACCGAGATCTACTCCAGCAACACGAAAAGTCTGCCCTTGAGCCTTATTTATTGTCATTGCATAACACACCGATACTGGGTATTGCGTTCTTTTAAATTGGAATGGAAAATTATTTGGTATTATGGGAATTCTGGGAATAAAGATGCACCGCAACCTGTTGTTAAAATTTGAGCCTCGATTACATTTTGTTGCAACTGGGTTACTTTAAGCCGAGTTCCATTGAAAATTTGTGGTGGTCTTAAATTTCGGAGCAGAATAACGGAATGCCAATTTTTAAACAAATTTCATGAGAAGGAAGCCCGGGCCTATATTCTTATAGAATTATAACCAGAAATATATACAACTCGCAACAAAAAAGAAATGAAAATAAAGCTGAAACGCCTGTGCAATACTATCTACCTATACCTAATTCATTTAAAAATAAATACTTATAACTACTTTAATTAATAAAAGTACCTACGCTTAATAATTTTTAATTTGAACGAATATTTAAACACTACCAAAACAACTAATACCTATTTTACAAAATAACAACAAAAGAAATTCAAATAAACTATTTAAAGACTAAAAGTCGCGGTGATAAGCACGGTTTCTCAATATTTCTCAATTATTGTCTGTCAATAAGGTCGAACGCTCTGAACGCATCA